TAATTTTATTGCTCTTTGAACAGTGTCTAACTAATAATCCCATGATACAAGCTGTAAATCAAAGGGAACATGAATAGCTCAAGTTGCAGTATTGAATGATATAAGTTGTGCTAATTTTTATACTTTAATGAGTAATTTAAATTAAATTCAGGATGTCATAGAGAGGTGGTAAAAGAAAAAAACAACAACAAAAAACAGAAACTGGGCCAATCAAACCAAATAAATGTTATGCTACATAGATAAGGGGAGACTGGAAATCTAATTATATATTTCCTTCTGAAATTTGGAAATAAAAACTTATATAATGTCAAAATTTGATGTATTAATTAAGTTTGATCCCAAGTTTATTCTTATAGATTGATAATAAAGTAGTTTAATTACATATATAGAAATAAAAACTTATATAATGTCAAAACTTGATGTATTAATTAAGTTTTGATCACCCTTAATTAATACATCAAGTTTTGACATTATATAAGTTTTTATTTCTATATATGTAATTAAACTACTTTATTATCAATCTATAAGAATAAACTTGGGATCAAAACTTAATTAATACATCAAATTTTGACATTATATAAGTTTTTATTTCTATATATGTAATTAAACTATTTTATTATCAGTCTATAAGAATAAACTTGGGATCAAAACTTAATTAATACATCAAGTTTTGACATTATATAAGTTTTTATTTCTATATATGTAATTAAACTACTTTATTATCAATCTATAAGAATAAACTTAAAAAAAAATCTAATATAATAATACAGGACAATTCTACATCTGTAGGTCTCACTTAGTAATCAGGTAATCACAACACTATAATGGCATTAAAGACTGAAGTAGTGGAAGGTTCCTCGCTGGGCGAGTGAAACTTGAGTTTGGGGGGGGGGGATACCCGCAGTATAAGTGGTGACATTATAACCATGGAGCACTGTAATTGTTTTTAGTAATAAAAATTTGTTAGATTATATAAAATTTAAGGACAATAAACATCTAGGCTGTCACATTCACTAAAATAAATGAAACTTTAAAACATCCAAAGTCAGCCCTTATTATTTAAATATTTATCAAGCCTTCTCTTAATCCTCTTAATATGGCCAGGTAGGAGTGCACATTTCACTGTAGAGTTACATTCAACATGTAATTAAACTAAATGGATAATGACAAACATAAGTAAAAGAAAGTCACACAACATTAAGGAAAACTAACTATTATTGAAAGAGTAAAAAGGAGGGTTTCAAAAACACAAGTTAAAAAAGGTGTTAGAAAGACTACGTTCACTGTAAGAGAAGTTGAACGAAACTCTAGGACTTTTTAAATAAATGATTGGACTAAATACATTCCATGTACTGACCTTATATTAATGTCAATACTTTTTTTTGTATTTTGTTGTTTTTAATAATTAAAGAAAATAAAAAAAATTAAAAAGTTGTTTGTACAAATCATATTGGTAATACAACCATTTCCTCGGTTATACCATAGGAGGTCTTTTTAACATGGGTCATCCTGTCTCCCCAAATTCCATGTTATAACAGAGGAGCACTGTAATTAAATTATGAAGAATATAATCCAACATTAAAATTAATGTGAAATGATACTGTATTTAATATTTCATTTTGTATCTTTTTATACATAAATGTTGAACAAGCATGAGAGAATTACAAATACTAATGGTTCAAAAGTACAGCTATCTACACTACACAAAACATTCAGGATTTTTGGTATTTCTATTCTAAGGCTAGACACTCATTTACACTTTCCAAAATATTCAGTATTTCAGATTATTTTTATCTCAATTTCAAAATATACATGCCAAATTGAGATGCAAATTACAGTGAAACAATTCTTAAGTTCTTGCTCTCATAATAAAGATATAATTATCAAAATATTTTCATTGTGCTGCAAACCTTATACAACAGACAAATCTGAAAGTAAAAGTTTAAATTCATATACTCCTTAAGTGTTTCAGTAAAAAAAACGTTCAAAGTTAATTAAAGACAACATTTACAATAAATGTACCATATATTCTTCATCCCAGCCCATTTGTTCTTTTCTTTTTCTTTCTTTAGCTTCCTGAAAAGATTATGAATTTGTCATTAGAAAATAAAACAAGATTAGTTAATAACACAAAAAAATACAGATATAAATAATAGTACTTCAAACAGACTAACTGGTTACTTAGTTATTTGTTAATTTCTTCTTTTCACCAAAATGTGACAGTTTAGCTACAACATTAACTAGCAATTAAAAAAAAATGTTTTGGAAATATTACGTAGATATTTCAAATCAAAATGCTTCCACTGTTTTGAAATGCATTTGCATCATGACATCATAAATGTAAGTATTAACAAAACATGTACCTTTTTTGCAAGACGTCGTAGCCTTTTCTGTTCTGGTGTTTCTAGAGCTTTCATATGTTCTTTTTCATACCTAAAGTAAAGAGTAAAATTGATATTCCATTAGATGTAAAAGAAAACACTTCTGTAAAGGACTACAACCCTTACAGTTGATGCACAATATGTTATTGAACCCTTTTCCATCTTGGATTACTCACTTAATAAACTTGGTTAGATTCATTTAGTCTATACAATTATCTTTTTAAAGAAAATATAAATTCACTATTTATTTTTTCTCAATCAACTTCATCACCAGCACAAGTACATTACTATAAATAATATTCTTAGATTAACTTTTCAACCCTGAGTTAACATGAACTGACCTTAGTGATGGTTATTTACAGTTATTAACAAAGATATTCTAGGTTCTGCACTGCCCTTGAACTTACTCCTTACAGTCAAATTAAATCTGATGGCCATATCTATGAACTACTGCTGGCATCACAAGTTTCATTATGACAAAATTCTACAATAAATAGTGAAATCAACCTCAATCCACACATCTTTACAAACCTTCTATAGATGCTCTACTGTACATTCCAAGACTACATTTAAAACTTTTGCGATGGGCTCGGTATAAAATACACGAGTTTGTATACATACTTGCACACGTTAAGTATTTATACTATATTCACAAAATTTGGTAGACTTTTAGTAATGATTCCAAATCTTTTGTAGATAAAAATTCAGAGTTTTTAATGAAGTATTTTTACTAATGATTTGTTTGTGAAAATATCAAGTCTGTTTTGTTACTTGTCTGAGTGCAAAGTGATTTTCTTGTCATGATTAAAACACTATTCTTCATTCCAAAAATTTCAAATAATAGTCTAAAACCTCCTAAATACATTTCAAATGTTTGTTTTCAGTAAAATTGTATATTGTGTCTGTTATTTCTCTATGCTAACTGTATGGGGTGTGTCAACTGACCTTGTAACCAACATAAAATAAATTATGCTTTTTCATTCAAGAAGGACTACAAATTATAACATGAAAACACAAATATTTAGACTAAATAACTTAAATCTCATAACATTATACATTTATATATATTTATTATTTTTATTATATTGACCTTCCAGTCCTGCCTAGCTAACAATACTGTATCCAATAATATAAAACTGACCTTTAGTCTTTACATTATATATGCATATAGATTTCTACTATTTACAAACAGGTTTATAATCTAATTTTTCTTAAAACATAGAACAGTAAATGAAGAAGTAAAGCAAACAGTTATCTCTTCTTATTATGACCTTTGTACTTGGTTGCTGCTTCCTGTTGTTTGCTAAGCCTTAAGAAATTTTGCACGTGGAATATGTGAAATGAAATTACTTTTTTTTAGATTTTATATATACATTTGAATAACCAAAAAATCATAAATTACTATATCAATACCAGTAAATGCCATTATAATTTATCAAGTTTAGTAACTAAGCTGTATTTCATTCTAAAGAAATATGAAATTTTGAGCAGACTAAAGACACAACCTACCTCCTTGAAATCTTGGTTTGAAAGAATGATATGTCATCCTACCACATGAAAATGGCTGAGAAAGCCACAAGGGGGACATTCTGAGCTTTCAATTGGTTATTCACACATCATATACACAAGTAAGTGTAAATAAGGGACAATTTCCAAATGGAAAGAGGTGAGCGGGGCCATCATATTTGATTCAGTAAATGAGCAATATCTCAGCAAATAGAAAAGATAAGAGGTTTTAATTTTATACTCTAGCTTGCTAATA